ATTTAAATATATTTATTATTTAATTAATAAAAAAATTAATTAAATTGATCGAATTTAATTCAATCAATTAACTTTTCAAAAAAATATATTTATTTGAATTAAAAAAAATAAAAATAACATAATTTCATTAATTTAATTTTAGATAATCCAATTCATGACTCCTACGACACATCCTAGTAAAGTAGACCTCCGATGCCTTTTAACCGTTAGGTTTGAGCAGTAAAGTCGCAACGACCGAAGAACCAAACCCGAGATTGAATTCAACCAAGAGGTAACAACCAGCGATTCACTTTCGACAATAATTTCCTAAAGGGGATCTATCTTAGCGTCAATAATAATCCAGAGAGCTTCTAGAGCAGCCAGCAATTCTGCTAAGTTTGAATCTTGAATTCCAATGTGTTTGGAGAAAAGCATAAGAACCTGACCTTTGTGATTGCGTACAACCCCCCCATACCTGCAGGACCTGGTTTAACAATTGCGGAGCCATCAGCGTTCACCTTCCAACACCTTCAGGAGGGGGGATCCATTCGACATTCTTCCTGGCTGGTCTAACATGTCGCCTCACCGTCAGATTCTGGATGTTGGATACAACATCTAGAGAAGTGAAGATTGTTCCAGGAAACTTACCGTTCAACCACCATCCAATTATTCTTTGGAGACAGTTTAACGGGTGAAAAATGAATGAGTGGGAAGTGTTATTTCCTTATCTGATAATTGTAGCTGAAGGGATCAACACACTTATTCTTTGGAAAATTGAGTGCATTATCCAAGGGAAAAGGTTTGTTCAAGGGTTTTTTTCCGGTCTTTAAAGTTTGCATATTAGTTTGACTATGGTTAGAGTTCTATATTCTTGTCAAAAGGGGGAATGAATTGATATAGCTCAGATATTAATTTAAAATTTGGCAAAACATAAGGATGTTATGTGTTTCATGAAAAAGCTACATTTGAGAAGGTTACATGTCTTAACCTCTTGTAGTTAATGGTGTGATTCCCAAATGTTAAATCTTTTTTTTTTTTTTTTTGGGAGGGGGGGCGGGGAGATATTCAAGTTAGATGGCCACGAAGCAAAGGTGAGGGACAAGAAGTTGAAAGGAAATGTAGGAATAGTAGGGGGTGTTGGCATATTACAACTATAATTAATCTTATAATGGCCATTGGAGGATGATTTGGGTAAATTTTTTTTCTGGGATTATTTTATAAGATTGCAGTGAATACCTTGTTCTTTGTCCCTCATAGGCATAATCCTTATTTTTTCCTCTCATTTTTTTATTTATTTTCAGTGGATAAATTTTGGGGATATCGGTTCTGATGCACCACAGGTGCAGATAACACGCGGGTTTGATAGCCATGAACATGCTTCATTGTTATCTGATAATCGTCAAGGTGTCAGATGATTGGATCTTCTTGTTGTTCTATTCATTAGATGCATATGATTTTTAAAGTGCAACATAGAATGTGCATGTAATTAATGGAAGAATGCAAAATAACATAAAAGAAAGCATGTTGATGTTTAGTACCTGATAATGCTAGGGCCTATCCTGGCTATTTAAAGACGCCATAATAAGATGGATTGGAGCCTTTCTGGCTGCCAATGATTAGAGGTAAAGTCCTTTTACATTTTTCTAAGGGCTATCATTGATCCTTAACTAGAGGAAATTTGGTCCCCCTTCATTGGCCTTAATTAGCCTTTTTCAGAAGTCTAACAAAGGCAAACTTAGTTTAGATTGAGTTGTTAGGTAGTTCTTTTTAATTCTTTGCCTTTTTTCTACTTGTATAATACTTTCAACATTGGGCTATGTTGTATTATTCTTTTGGCATATGATTTGTTATGTATATCTCATATCTATTGGTTTTTTTTGGCCAATTCATATCTGTTAGTTGGATTGCTTGTGTTAATATGTTGTTGCATCAAGTGAATAATCATCTTCTAGTTCTAATCTTGCTAACTTTAGGCTGTGATATTTTCTGGATGATCTGTTATGAGATTTAAGCTTGACAAGAATGTTTTCTGCCAAGTGTTGCAGGTGTTTTTACAGAACTTATACAGCAGATGCAAGTTAGGCGTACAAGTAACACTTCTTGCTTATGTGTCATAACTGGTCCCTTAAGCTTGTCTTGTGGTCAGCTATGCTTATGTTCCTCTCTTTTTGTTATTTTATATGCATATATCGACCGTTAATGTTAAAATTCTTTTAATGAATAAAGAATAAATCCCGTTTCTAGGTTAATTACCTTTTGTGTGTTCTGCACCGTCCTATTTAAACCATTTCTTTGTCATTGTTTTGGAGAAGGTATGGAATTGGAACGTATGGAATTGGAAGGTATGTTCATGGCTTTATGTATATTTGTTTTGCCTTAGAACTAAGTCAATCACATGTGGGTGAAAGGTGTAAGGATTCCTATAATAAGCCCCCTAAGCTTCCATTTGTATCTTGTTTCTCTTGGTTCAATAGAAGCCAAGTCACTTACTGTTGCAAGAGATGAGAAGAAGAAAAATAAGAGGGAGTTAGGGAGGGAAAACCCAATCACTGAATTAGAAGTTCTCCAACAACTCTTAGTAGCTACAGTTTTATGAGAAAAAGCCTCTTTCACAATACATAAGCAAGACCAAAAGGACCATATGATAATGCCCATTCCAACAAAACAAAAAACTACGAAATTCCTCTGGATGATAAACTGATAAATTATATTTTAATGTGTAATTAGCACCAAGGATGTCTTCCTTGGATCAAAAAGACTTCTTTGACAATACAGAAGCCATGGTCTTAGCCTTTGGCTTCCAAAAAGGATTATTTCTTCTAACCAAGCTATTGATGTACCATTAGCGCACTTTAAACCTGCTATGCTAACCTGTTTACAGGGTAATTAGACGCTACTTAAATTGGATCAGATTGGGTTGGTGTTGAATAAAATTGTAGCCATTGCCATCCCTACCCACTTTCTGTACTGTTTGTTTGTTCTTTGCTTGTATGTTTGAACCTGTGTAAAGCTATCAAACTCTATCCTTGTGTGGGTTGGTGCATAGGTGTGCATATTCTTTATATATGTATGAATGTATTGTATGTAAAGTATAGGATTATTGTTGTTTGTCTTTTACCTGCTTTATACTGTCATGATGGCAAATGTCTTAGCAGGTAGATGAGTCGTATTCATTGGATCTTTATTCTCTGAACAATCTTAGGTGAGTTTTTGCTCGGTACTGGCCATTCTACATTTTCACATTTGAATCTTTTCATGATTTTTCTTCCCTTGCTAGGCCTGTGTATGGGTTGATTTTCCTTTTCAAATGGCGCCCAGGGGAGAAGGATGACCGTCTTATAATTAAGGACCCAAACCCTAATTTGTTTTCGCTAGCCAGGTCGGTTTCATTCTAATACATAATTTCTGAGTCTGACATATTTGAAAAAATCTTCTGAACTTATTGTTCCTCAATTTTCATAGGTCATCAATAATGCTTGTGCTACACAAGCAATATTGTCTATTCTCTTGAACTGCCCAGATATTGACATTGGGCCAGAACTATCGAAGTTGAAAGAATTCATAAAAAACTTTCCTCCAGAACTCAAAGGTCTAGCTATAAATAACAGTGAAGCTATACGTACAGCCCATAATAGTTTTACAAGGCCCAAGCCTTTTGTTCCAGAGGAGCAGAAGGCTGCTGGAAAAGATGATGATGTCTACCATTTCATAAGCTACATCCTAGTTGATGGAGTACTGTATGAGCTTGATGGACTGAAGGAGGGACCCTTTAGCCTTAGTCAGTGCCCTGCTGGTCCAGGTGACATGGAATGGTTGAAAATGGTACAACCAGTAATCCAAGAACGTATTGAGAGATACTCCAAAAGTGAAATAAGATTCAACTTCATGGCAGTTGTCAAGCACAGGAAAGAGATGTACACAGCTGAACTTAAGGAGCTCCAAAAGAGGAGGGAACGCATCTTGCAGCAACTGGCTACCATACAGTCCGACAGACTTACTGACAAAACCAGTTTTGAAGCACTAAGCAAACAACTTTCAGAAGTGAATTCGGGGATTGAAGGTGCCAGTAAGAAGATTTTGATTGAGGAGAAATTCAAGAAGTGGAGAACTGAAAATATTTGTAGGAAACACAACTACATACCCTTCTTGTTCAACTTCCTTAAAATTCTTGCTGGAAAGAAGCAATTGAAACCCCCTTGTTGAGAAAGCTAAGCAGAAGACTAGCAGCTCAAGGTGAAGTGTTTCTTGTTTTGTTTCTTGTTTTTGGTGGACAAGATGCTTATTCGAAACTTGAGGTTTAGTGCAAATTTAAAGAAAAGGAGTGAGCTTATGGACCCTTTATGATCATTTAACTGTGTTGTTTCCAAATGACTTTCTTCTTGAATTTATTTTAATCTTTTGTCCCATGTTTGTTAATGATAACATTCTGCTCTCGGTAAGCATCTTTGGGTGATTGAACAGGCGAACAAGTCAGATAGTTTGATGCTTTTTTAGCTCATGACTTAGTGTGTATGCTTCAAACAAAGCTGTTCAACTTTTTGCCGCCATCTGGAGTGCGTCACAGGGCGCCAACTTAAAATTCTAATAAGAGCTTATGAGGTGACCATCCCTTATTTATTTAAGCTCAAAATCACTCAATGTTAAACTCAGGATACATTTTTGCCATGTGGCAGCTGTCTTGGCCAATACTATTAGGTGAGATCACACTTACATTCATCTATTCAAGCTCAAGATCGATTTAGTACACATTCAATGAATCCTGAGGTGATCATCCCGCATTGTTAAGCTTAAGATCATTCCCTAAAATTAGATTTGTCGATTTATGTATTTTATTTTATAAAATATTGATAATTTTTATATTTTTATAATATTTTATATAAAAATTATATATTATAATTTATATCATTATAAAATATATAAAATATATTTTTTATTTTTATTAAATTTACATTTAATTTTTCCTGAAATTTTAAATCACATATTTTTCTTTTTTTTTATTGTTTCCGTACGTAAACTCAAAATCTAAAGGACAGGACAGGACTAAAGGCTCCCTTAAACCAAGCTCAGAGCCATTTGCTAGAAACTTCCATCCTCTTCTCCGTAAAACCCCCAAAACCCTAAACTACTTGCTAAAAATTTCATTTCTTCCTAGCTTCCTACTTAACACTCAAAAACCCACTAAGAAACCCTAACAAAAAGGAAAAGAAACGATGTCTAAGGTTGAGCTCTCTCGTTCAGAAAAGAAAAAGCACGCGGCCAAAGAATGCGACCAAGATTTCATCATCAAACCACAGAGCACCACCCCATCCATCGACACTTCCCAGTGGCCTATCCTTCTCAAAAACTACAACCTTCTCAACGTGCGAACCGGACATTACACTCCTCTTCCTTCCGGTTTCTCTCCCCTCAAGCGACCCCTTGCTGAGTACGTCAGGTACGGTATTTTGAACCTTGATAAACCCTCTAACCCTTCTTCTCATGAAGTTGTTGCTTGGATTAAGCGAATTTTACGCGTCGAAAAGACTGGGCATAGTGGAACTTTGGACCCCAAAGTCACTGGGAATCTTATTGTTTGTATTGATAGAGCCACACGGCTTGTTAAGTCCCAACAGGGTGCAGGGAAAGAGTATGTCTGCGTTGCCCGTCTTCATTCCAAAGTGCCCGACGTTGCTAAGGTTACTAGGGCTCTTGAAACCTTGACTGGAGCTGTTTTTCAGAAGCCACCGTTGATTTCGGCCGTTAAAAGACAGCTTAGGATTAGGACTATTTACGAAAGTAAGCTTCTTGAGTATGATGCTGATAGACATTTGGTTGTTTTTTGGATTTCTTGCGAGGCGGGTACTTATGTTAGGACTATGTGTGTTCATTTGGGATTGATTCTTGGGGTTGGTGGGCATATGCAGGAACTTAGGAGGGTCAGGTCTGGGATTTTAGGGGAGAAAGATAATATGGTGACAATGCACGATGTTTTGGATGCTCAATGGGTTTATGATAATTATAGAGATGAGAGTTTTTTGAGGAGGGTCATTATGCCTCTTGAAGTTCTTTTGACTAGTTATAAGAGGTTGGTTGTGAAGGATTCTGCTGTTAATGCTATATGCTATGGGGCGAAGTTGATGATTCCGGGATTGCTAAGGTTCGAGAATGATATTGAGGTTGGGGAGGAAGTTGTGTTGATGACTACTAAAGGAGAGGCGATTGCATTGGGAATTGCAGAAATGACGACTGCAGTGATAGCTACTTGTGATCATGGTGTGGTGGCAAAGATTAAGAGGGTGGTTATGGATAGGGATACTTATCCAAGGAAGTGGGGTTTGGGGCCAACTGCATCCATGAAGAAGAAATTGATTGCCGGAGGCAAGTTGGATAAGCATGGAAAGCCTAATGAAAGTACTCCTAAAGAGTGGTTGCGAAATGTTGTGTTGCCAAGTGGTGGGGATTCTATGGTTGCAAGCGTTGCAGCTTCTGCTGAACCGGCTGTGAAGGGTAGTGAGACAGCTGTTGCAGAGAAGGAGACTACAATGGTGGAAAAGGAGAAGGACAAAAAAAAAAAGGGCAAGGATGAGGAAGATGGGGAGGGGCACAAGCGCAAATTGGATGAAAGCAGTGATAGCCCTATTCCAGTTGTTGCTAAGAAAGTTAAAGTTGAAGAAGCTGAAGTTGAAGTTGAGAAGAAAGAGAAAAAGAAAAAGAAGGATAAAGAGGATCATGCTGCAGAAACTGAAGAGAAGACTGAGAAGAAGAAGAAAAAGAAGAACAAAGATAAGGTTGAAGCTACTTCACCAGATATAGAGAAGAAAAAGAAGAAAAAGAACAAAGAGAGCGGGGAGGCTACTGCTGATGTTAACGGTGCAAATGATGCAGGAGCTGATAAAAGTGAAAAGAAGAAAAAGAAGAAAAAAAGCAAAGATACGGTAGAGGAGTAGATGAGCAGGTTTCAGAACTTTCCTTTTAATAGGAAATCAATTTTTCCTTGTATGCTGGCCGCCTACAGTAATTTTTTAGTAGTGTTTGCAGTTTCTCTATATAGTTTTTGCAGAAACAATTTTTATGATTTACTTTTGCGTAATGGAATGTTTTCATTATCTACAATATTTTTCTTTCGTTCGCCATTATTTTTTCTTCTATTTTTTTTGTGTATGGAATATATGTTAATCCCCAATTGCATGCTAATGCCTTTATATGGCATTCTGATTCTCAAATAGATGTAGTTAAATTGTATGCTCGGGAACATGAATATTCTGTACCTCGGCCTGATATAGTTCTATTCTCCTTCTTGTGCCTGTTTCTCTTGACATTTTTTTTTCTTTTGTTTTAACAAAAAAATTTAGGGCGAGGGAAGGCTTTTTCGGAGAAGACTTAGCGAAACTGTTGATAGCGGGATTCAACCTAGGCATGTTGCCATTGAGCTCATGTGGTAAAAGGGTATTATTCAAGCTGCAAAGAAAGAAGGGTTATGTTATATTCCTGGAAGTTTGAAGCAAACAGAAGGTTTAATATCCTTTCCTCAATAAAAAAGCAAAAAAACAAAAAAAAAGTTAATAAAATTATGGATTTTATTCAAGTTAAGAAATATTTGCTTTGGAACAACAACGACACAACATAAACAAAAGCAAATGGAAATCTTTTGTCGTTTGACATCGTCTTTCATTCGGCTCTCTCCATTTTGTTTTTATAGCCATTCTTAATTTTCTCCAGTTTTGCATTCTAACTACTTAAAGAAATTCTCGGCCAGAAAAAAATTACATCAAGAAATTCATTTAGAGTATTAAAAAGGAAGAAAGCAAATGAAAGTGTTTCCCTTGTTGGTAAATTTTATTTCCTCCCAAAATGCTGAAGAAGAATATGAGACATTGAATCCAAGATTCAAACCAAAGACTTGGAAGTGGGAATTCAAGGTTCTTAACCATTGGCATTAGCTGTTATTATTATTATTACTACTTCATGGGTGTGACCCACAGTTTTCGGACTATGCTCACTGAACTACTAGAGAGAAGCAAATTCTCTATTTTCGTTTTCTTCCCTCATTAATGACACAAAACTGCTGTCTTGGATGATGGGTTACTTGGCTTGCCTCTGTTTGATTAGCTTTTCAAAAGAATTGAAGCATAGGTATCCAAGACAACGCTAACCTTTTTCTTTTCTGTAGATTTCAAGCAATTTGTTTTCTAGCAAACACAGGAATATGCATGTAAGTATAGACTCCCGGTCCCGGAGCACTAGGAAGTGGGATACAGGTTTAAGTTTACTTTGGGATACAGGTTATCCTTCTTTTTTTTTTCCCAGTTACTTGGTAGTTGATTAAAAGGTAGCTTTTCTCGAACTTATGTTATCCTTTTTTTTTTCCAGTTACTTGGTAGTTGATTAATATGATTATTTGTTGGTTTTCTTTTCCCCAATGTATTAGTTCTATCTTATATATGCGGTGAATGTAATTTCCCATGTTTTATCGAATCTTATTCTGCTAAGGTACTCTTCTCTTTGCTAAGGTCTAACTTGAACTTGCATTAAACTTTTTGTAATAGATGAAATAAGATGAAACGGAATTTAGCTCAATTGGTTCATACAATCACTCAATAGCATCTAGCAAGTTTGAGATTCAAAATTTCAGCACATTCAACCCCTTCCTTTATCTAGGGTGCAGTCTCCTTCCTAAAAAAAATAGAAATAAGGTTGTATGTAATATGAACCCTTTTCTTTTATTTCTATGTTGGCTGGACGACCAAATAGCCCACCCCCTTATCTACAGAGCCACTCTCACCGCACAGATAATTTCCTATCCTGATGAAGGTAAGTATAGCTTTGACTTTTGATTTCTTCCTTCCCATCTCATTTTCCTATATTAACCAAAAGATAGGTTTTCTAATACCAAGCGTTTTCAGATTAGGAAGAAGTTTTATGCACGAGTTCAATTACTTTTAGTTGTATACTAGTTCCGGCAAAGTTGTTCATCAACTTCATCACTCTGCTGCCTGCCACCGCTTACGTTCTGCTAGTGACTCACTATTTAGTTCCTTGTATGCAATCCTCAAACCAATTTTTGCTCTTGGATTATGTTGAGAATGAATTATGATTAATAGACGGATATGGTGAGGGACTGGATGAGACATCTGATCCTCATAGACATTATCAGAGTAAACAGGACATGGCTATTTTCACAATGACTGAAATCCTAATAACTTTTGAAACTTGAAAATATTTAGATTGTTGATGAATCCCTATTTTGGCTAATATGTTCATCTCATGACAGGGAGATGGCTTGAGAATTGGATATTACTCCTCTGTTCTTGTTAAACTTAAAATACTATAAAAATTACGCAAAAAATGCAGCTGTAGCTGTCTGTTCAATTTCTATCAGCAGGTGATTACGATCATAACTCATAGTCAGAGATGCATAATGGTTATCTCCAACATCCATAACCATTTAGATTGGCCGGCACGAGAAACACTGCTGTACTTTTCATAAACAATTAAGGTAACACCATACTTATCCAGGTACATATGGTGTTCTTATTTGTTTTCCCACCATAAGCATGCTCAAAATATGCTTTGAGGTTTCAGAAAAACTTTGTTTGTAAATTACAATGTTCAACCTCTTCACTGCTATCTCTTAAATGGACAATAAACAACAATCATTCCAATTTCCATTATTTTTCTACTGTGATGTTATCTCCCATACAAATTGATGCTTCAAAGCCATTCCAATCGATGATGAACTGTGATTGGCTTTTGCTGGAGAAGCTGTTGCTTCTATACCTGGGCTTTTGATGACGTCAACGTATAGCAGAATGACAGTTTCAAATGCTTCTACAAGCAGCCCCACTCTCCTTTTCCTTTCTGGAGTTAGTTTAGCAACTTGTTGAAGTGCATAATCTAACATCCATTCTTCAGCATTTTTTCTGTCTTCCATGTTTTGATGCCTTAGGAGAACTTTCTCTGATTCGGGGGCAGGATCCAAGGGCAGGTATTGAGGGCCCCGAGGGTTAAATTCTTTGACCTTTCCCAATGCCTTGACAAATCTCCTGAGGAGGATTAATTTTTTCAGATTGCTCCAATTTCTCTGCACTCTCTTTTTGGATTTATTTCACTTATCTGTTGCTCTTTTTGCTTCTTTTTGGGTGCTTGCATTTTCAGGCTTCAGTATTTTTTTCTTTGGAATTCAAGGTTGAACAAAGCTCTGCTCTTATGTTTTTAGCTTCTTCAGAATTCTCTTTAGCAGAATCAGTAGAACTTGAGACGAATTTTACCTCTTCTTTTCTTCACATTGCTTCGTTTCTGGGAGTTCTTGATGCGGGATTACATCAACAGTAACTGATTGATTGTCTGATGTGTCGTCTTAAGTTTCTGAAAGAGGTATATCATCTATTGCTTCTTCTACTAGCTTTATAACCTCAGTGTTGTTGCATTCCATATTTTGGCTGCCTGTTGTATGGTTCTCCCTCATATCCTGACCTGTTGCAAAAGAACTTTGACAATCACCATTGTTGTCTCTAGAATGTTTGATGGCATCATCATCTTGTGCTTCCTCATCAGTTAGATTTTGAAGTAATTGCGATCCATTTTCTATGGCACTATCTGTTGCGCTTGGTTTCCTCCGTGTGGGGTGGACTAATCAAAGGCCATTCATCAAGGGCTTTTCAGTCTTTTATGTTTAATTATAGGGTTTTAAATTTTTACATGATTGAAAAGGAACAGGAGAGTGGTGTCGTGATAAAATAGAAAGAAAAAGAAACAGAAGATTTTCTATAGTTTTGATGAAGTAATTTGATTGAAATTAATCTTTTATTTTGATTGAGTTAAAATTTTATCAATATATTTATAATTTATTGTTCTTTAATCTGAACAATGAAAATTAAATTTTAAATTTTTCATAAGTATTTGTTAATCTTTAAATTCGTTAAAATTACTTAATTTTTTCTTATAAGATTATTTTTTTATCAAAATTATTTAATCTTAAAATATTGTGATTATATATCTCTACTTTTAGTTAGAGAAAAAATTATATATCTATTTTTTTATAGTAAAAATTATTTGTTATTACTTATGATTTTTACTTTTTATTTTAGGAAAATTTTTCACCTAAATTGTTTGTGTCTTTATGCTTGTGGTTTGAAAATTTATTTGTTAACTCTATTTGTTTTCTTCTTGTTAGATTCACACAAGAGATGGATAATTTGATTTTTTTATTATGTGACATATTTAATTTGAATATTGTTTCAGGTTATTTTATCATATCAAAATGATATTAGAGTTAGATTGCAAATATCTCTTCATAAGTCAAGCGTAGAAGCTCTTCTTTTATGGCTTGATGTGTGAAAAAGAAAGATTGTTGAGTATCGCATATCGATCGTTGCCAATATCTCCTTGTAAACCAGGCATAAAAGCTTTACCCCATGACTTGATGTGTGAAAAGGGGAGATTGTAAAAATTATCCCACATCAATTATGGAAAGAGATTTGTTGTAGCAGATTGTGTTTGTGAATTAGAGACATGCAAAAGAAGATGTTGCAACAAGGCATTAGTTGCAAATGGAGTCAATCGGATGAAGTTGATTTGGCTGTATAGGAGTATTTACCACTTATGTAAATCAAGTGGAGTAAGCATTGATTCAATTTTGTGTAATCAAAATTTATTAAATGTCAATATTGTGATAGAATTTGTATCAAGGTGAAAATTTGTTAGATATTGACGCAAATTCTAATTGGGAATCAATTTGAATTTGAATAAAATTTTATTAATTAAATAATTACTTGATAATTAAGTTTATATAAAGATAAATATTTTTAATGGATAAGAGTTCTTAGTAAATAAGAATTCTTGTTGATCAAGTAATGGAGTTTTATAAATATGAAATGATTATTAATTTTTAAAATTATAAGCAAGAGTTTGTAGAAATGTAAAAAAATGTTTATTCGGGAAAAACACTGGCTGCATAAGATAAAAGATATTCCATAAAGTATACATTAAGGAGCATGGAAGACATGAGAAGAGTTTCTTATGCTTCAGCAGTAGGAAGTTTGACGTGTGCAATGGTATGTAATAAGCCAGACATAGCCCATGCAGGTGGTGTCGTTAGCTGCTTTTTGTCAAATTTGGGATAGTTAAGTGGATTATTAGATAATTACGAGACACTTCCGACTTAAGACTCACTTTTGGAAGTGAAAAATCAGTGCTAGTTTACTATACTGATTCAAATATGGCAGGAAATGTTAATTACCGAAAGTCTACTTTGAGTTATTTGATTATATTCTCAAGTGAGGCTGTATATTAAGTACCAAAGCCTCAAATATTTTTGTTTTTCCAACTTAGAAATATCAGCAGCAAAATTGGATTCAGAATGTTCAAGTGAAGAATGGAGGGATTTATATTTTGGCTGAGCTCCTTCACCAACTGCTGTGGGGCATTCAGGTTTACCAGGGTGCTGGTCAGCAGAATTAATCAAGTCACTGGAATCCAAATCCATCTTCTCTATATTCTTGCAGACTTCTGAATCGAGAATTGAAATTTCTTCCTTCGAGATTCTTTGAATAACTTCTTCATTTTCTGGACAAAATTCTGATGAGAGGTCCTTACTGCACCCTCATTAGTTAAGCACTTATCAGATAGTCTGGGTTCTTCAAGTTCTGACAAAGAGAGGTCAACCAACTTCGGCTGAACATCCATGACAATCAAAACTTTATTCACATTATTGTCATTGACTGCACCAGTATATGCTTTCTTCAAATCTGTACCACTCATTTCCGAGCCTGCTATACACAATGGTTGTTCTGTATAAGCACAAAACAAACTTGTTTCTTTGGGCTCAGGAGTTTGGGCTTTGCTGGTATGCTCTATGGGATTCACTGACTTGGTCTTGATCATCTTTGGAACGCATTTCAAGATTCAATGCTTTGCCTGCCAAGATTTCAGAACCATTTTCTGTTTTTGCACTGTTACCATTGTGAACCGAGAACTCATTATCGGCTGGAATAAAAGTTGTAGGAGAAAAAGCTGCCGCATTGGACCTCATATCATCCCCATTTTCTGGTAGTGGGATGGCTGTTTCAAAAGCTAGTACCAACAGAGCTACTTTTCTTTTTTGAGATGGAGCCAATGTTGAAATTACTTGACAAAGTGCATGATCAAGCATCCATTCCTCAGCACTTTTTCTCCCTTTCATATTTTGATGCCTCAATTGAATCTTTTCTGCTTCTGGGTCTTTGTCCACAGGTAGGTACCGGATTGACAAATATCTTCAGGATGATTGTGTTTTTCAGATTGCTCCAGCTGTTTGGCATTTGCCTGCCAGACTTTTTCCCTTCGATTTGGGCTGCTTTCACTTCTTCAGAAGCAATTTTGTTGCCCATTTGAAGCTGCATTTCTTCTTGATCTTGCATCATACGGTCTTCAATGGAATTAGAGGAAGTTGAGATGCTCATTTCTTTGCCTTCATCCTGTTTCTTTAACAAGAAATCCTGGTCTGAAGTTATCTCACTAGCAATTGATTGATTATCCGATGAGTGGTCTGGAATTTCAGAGAGGATCTTGTCAAATGCTTGCTGTACCAGCTTAATGGCATCACTTTGACTGAACTCAAGCTTTCGGTTGCTTGCTTCATGAACTTCTATGCTCATGGCCTTACCTGTCCGTGAAATTTCCTGGTAAGGGTCGTTGTTTTGATGTGCGTTACGCTGATTTTCTACTTGTTCTTCTGAATTCACTCCAGGAAGAGGTTTTTGAGTTTCAAGTTCAGCATCAAGACCTGTAACCATATTCTGATATATCAATTTCCAAAATGTGAAATTCTTCTGATTTTCTATCTCTCTTCTGCATGCCACATCAGTACCACCAGAAGCCATAGAATCTGCAGGTTGAACGATCCCATGATCTAGCTCAGAATCTTTATTATTTTCTTCAGTTGCTGGAGTTGGTTCTTCTATCATCCCAGCAACAGAAGCTGAAGAGAAAAGACCACTGGGAATCTCACAACTACTCGCGGTTGAAACAGTCTCCAACTTTTTGACACCGTTTTCTGAATGACCTTTATACTCTTCAAAATTCGAACTTGAAGCTATATATTCATTAACATCTCTTTGAGTTTCTTCGTCCACTGGAACCGTTTCATTGAAAGTGCTAATAGTTTTGTCAGGTTTCAAGGACAGCTTGTAAAACTGTGTTGACTCTCCAAACTCTTGTGAACTACCATCGCCATATTTGAGATAGCTATGGTCTTCGTTATGAGAACTAATTCTACTGAGTTCTTCCACCTTGATCTTGGTACCAGGGGTATCAGAAGTTGCTTTACGTTGTTCTCCTCCAATTCCACTGCTGTTCCACTTTAAGCGGGTTATTACTTTGGTGAAGATACTCTTCATGACTTGGATTCGGATATGATGATTCATCAGGCACACTCTCCGCGAACGTTACAAAATCACTGCCCGGGACTGAAGAGATCTCTCTGATATTAGCAGTTTTTTGTTGAACTGCAACTCCACCAAGGTCTCCTGCAGAGACTCTTTCCTCTGTTTTGATTCCTTTGTTTCTATTTCTAGATTGCTTTTCTTTACAGAGGATTGACGATCTTGTTTCAAGTTCTTCTGGGTCTTTGCCATTCGCCGTCTCATCTATACAAACATCTTCAATGGATGTTCATTACCATGGGGGTGGCTATGAAGAGAGCAATAACTATATCGACAGACATTCAAGATTGCAGTTCCATCAGATTCAATTCCTCCTGGTTTAATCTCTACATAATCTGGAAATTTGGAATCTTTGAGAGTTGAGGAACAGGTAGCTCTCTGTATGCTTGGGTCTGAAATGGAAAAAATTTCAGAGCATCTTTTCGTGGAAACCAACCCGCTTGGATTTCAAACTTGCCATTTTAGTTAAGATCCTCATAGGTCCCAAAGTAGATGTTCTTACAACTCTAATGGAAATGTTGCCATTTATTTGTTTCTCTCTGCTATCAAAACTAGATTCGGAATGACTTGGGCTTGCCTGTAACTGCTCCTTCTTCATATCAGAAGAACTTGTTGCTTTCAAGAAATGAGGTGATGAATCTACCTCGCTGGATGGAATGACTGGATGCTGATCATCTTGGGAATTTACCTCTCTCCTAGATGATTTCGTCGGTTTCTTCTTCAAGTCAGTTCCTTTAGAAGATTTCTTCAGCTGGGGCCTTCTGAATTTTATGCTGGACTTTCTTGTTACACTACGTAGAAGCTTAAAACTAGATTGCCTTGTCAATGTTACCGGTAATACCTGTCCACAGGAAGAAATATTTGGTTTTTGAACAATTTGAATTTTCACTAGAATTAATTAATAGTATTAAAACTTTGTTCTGAAAATTCTGGAACTTGGCTGAAAATTCTGGAACTTGGCATCAGAAGAGCTTGAGGAGTTTATATGATTTGGTGATGCATAAGACATCTCTATTGGAGAAGATTGTTCGGAGCTTACTGCACATCTTGATAACATGGCACGAAATTGAGTGGATGAAGATCTTCCCTTTCTAGTTGATGGCATTCTTGAGAGCTTGATTGATCTCAGCTTCTTCATTTTCTTCCCTGCTTCTGTTCTTTCTCTGTTTCTGCCACCCTGATTTTCAAAAGGTGATTCAGTTGTAGTTGACATCGTCTCTGATTCTATGAAATAATCAGAATCTGCCCCAACTTCAAGCTTATCAGAAATCATTCTTGGAATCTCTAAAAGTAACAGATTTGATTTTCAGACTAGACAAACAAGTGGCTTAAATATGGTTAGAGATAGAGATGGTTTGAATAGGAATTGATCTTTACAAGGAAGATTCTTGTTTTTGGAGTAGCAGAATGCTAATTGCCTGTTATCCAATTACTGCGTTGAAAGTTTTCAGAATGTCTGAAGGCCAGATACTTCACAGGGTGAGATTTTGGCTGCAATAACTTTTTCCCTAGTTCAACTTAATTTTTGGATTTTGACTGAAAATTTTAAAATACGATAACACAATATTAAAATGATATAAAAAAATATAATTATAATATAAATTAAAATATTAATAAAAATTATAAATTTAATAAAAATAAAATTATACTTGATATTTTTTATCAATATAAATTTTGATATAATATATAAATTATTAATATTTTAGATTATATGAATATATGAATTACCGTATTTGAGTATAGTTTTCTTTTGTGATTTGTGAAATTGGAGGAAGTTAGATGCCTTGACTTGTCCAGGAGGAGGAGCTTTTGACTTAGGATTTGTTGAATGGACTCAAATCTTTTTCTATGCCTTTGGTTGGTGGACCTCATACTTTTGGTAAGCACTTCTATAATTCCTTTACTTATGGACACGGCAGGTAAACGTAAATGAAAATTCCATAATTGGTGATATTTTAATGTCTGTCAATGCTCTAAGAAGGAAAGTTATTCCAAAAGTTGAAAAAGTCTACAAACCATGTGGACCCGAGCATGCTTTTTCCATAATTTGTAGCATAATTTGCCCAGGCTGCTCATCTGCTCGGTAATTGGTCTGCCTCTCTGTAAAATTATATAAATCTGATGATTTGGAGTTTTGCCCTAGAACAAAGCATTTGTAAAACTTTCACAATTTGCACGTTTAAATGTTTTATTCATTTGTGGCAATCATTATATATAAAACTCAAATATTTTACAATAAATGTCCAGTTTATTTTACATAAATTCTAAACACATATATCATAATTTTATTACATAAAAAATAATAAACTTGTGATTTTTTAACATTTATTTAGATTATTAATTTTTGCTTTTTGTATACATATTCTTTATAATTATTATTTGTTAAAATTTATTAAAATTTTGGTTTTGTAATGTATATATATTTGACTTCTAATTTTCTTGTTATTTATGGTTTTCCATCTCTTTTGTAAGGTTAAGAGGTTCTATAAGTATTTTTTGTCTCTATTACACTTTCTTCTCTCAATTTTTGTTATTTTAGTTACTAATCATGAGATTTTGTATTTTTTAGGTTAAAGGGTCAAAAATGTCCTTAAATTATAATTCAACAATCATTTAAGTCTTTAATATTTTATTATAATTAATCAAATCTTTAATCTTCTATTTTGATTCAATTGAACTCTTAAATAAAAGAAATCTATCACGTAACAAAATTTAATCAATTAATCTCCAAACTATTATCAATTAAATTCTTAGAAGGATTCGAGAGAAAAGAAATAAAGAAGAAAAAAAAAATTATTTTATTTAATTTTCACATATATTAATTGCGTTATATAACAAACTTCTATCAATTTTATTGATGTCATATAAAATTTTATTTTAGTTGGTAAAAAATTAACAATGTTAACTTTTTCTTCCAAATAAAGGCTTATTCAGATGCAAATAAATGTTAGAGGAGTTAATTGATTATAATAAAAAAAAATAGCTTGGATGATTTTTTAATTATAGTTTAAGAATTTTTTTATACCTTTTAGCCTTTTTATTGTGTTTTCATTTTGATAATTTATTATTTTATAAATTTTTAATCATAATTTTTTTTTTTTTTTGCATTTCAAGTTTGTTTATAGTCAATTAATGTATTTTTTAATTTTTAATCTTTTATAATTTTTTATTTTTTACCATGATCTTTTTTTGCAGTTTAAACTTGGCTATTAATCAATTACTAATCATGAAGTTTGTTTATTATTATGTTTTCATTTTTATAACACGTTAACTATGATTTATGATTTTTTTTATCTCTCAAGTTTGTTTATTAGCCAATTGGTGTATTTTTATTATTTTTATTTTAATAATTTTTTTTTTTATCTTGGTTCTCTTTTTATAGTTTAAGCTTAGCTATTTATAAATTAGAATATACCAAGTTTATAATTATCTTTTAAAAAGATTATTGAATACTCAAAATTTGTTTTTGTCAATGATAAGATGTTTATGATATAAGGCAAAACAACGTGTTCGTACAAAAATAACGTTGATCGATGAAAATGTATATATGTTTTTTTTTGTTATGCTATTTTCTTGTAAGTCATTCATTTTTTTTTTGTTCAATCATAGGTATGAACATTGTTTTTTTATATTGTTTATTTATAAATTTTTATTTTTTGGATTATATAAATACTTTAAATCTCTTATATATTTTATTTTTTACATTTTGGTATGTAACATGTTACTAATCATTAGATTTTTTATCATTTTTTTTATGTTTGCATCTTATACCAAAATATTTTGTTAAAATATTTATGGTTATTTTTACTTCATTTCATTATACTCTTTCGTTAAAAACGTGTATTGAGTGATAATAATTTAATTATATTAATAAAACTTTTTTTATAGATTTTTGCTTTTAAAAAGTACAAACATACAAAAAAAATAAAAATATTAATATTAAATCCATATATGGTTCATAAATCTTACGAGTGAATTTATTTACTTTACTATTTAAAATTAAATTTTTTTATTAAAACAATAACTTAACTTCATTAATAAAAATGGATAAATTTATTTTCTTGTACAATAATTACTTGAAACATAGACTTAAAGGGGAGATTTTATGAATTTGAATAAAAGTTAGGAATTTAATATAACATTGATAAATCCTATAAAACCCTAATAAATTTTATTAACAATTGGATTATTAAAATATTTATATTTTATATTGAAAGTATCTATTATTAAACTATCACAAAAATATTTTTATTTATATTTATTATTAAAATAATAATATAAATACCAAAATAAATAAAATATAAAATTATATATTTCAAACTAAAAAATAATAAGAAATTATTAAAAATATTCATATTAAGAAATAATATTATTATGTTATTTAACATTAATTATTAAAATAATAAAAATATTATTATATATGTTATTAATTATTATTAAAATAATAATATAATATAATACTATTTATTATTGAGATATTAAAAATATTTATTTTTAATAATATATAAAATAAAAATATTTAAAATTGAAATATCAAGAGACTTTTAATGTTGATATTTTATTTTTTTATTAAAATTAAATAAAATATTTTTAATCAAATTAAGCTCAAAATTAAAATATTATGTTCAAAGTTTTATTTGAGTAAATTATAAAATATTTAATATGAAATATTAAAATACTTTTAATAGTAATATTTTAATTTTTTAAATAAAATTAAATAAAAATTATTTATTAATAAAATAATATTTTTGATCGAATCAAATTAAGTTAAAATTTAAAAATTCATGTACAAAATACAATTTAAGTATAATTATACTCAAACATATTAATACGTAATTCTACTTATAAAAAACTCTTTTTAAAAAAAATTTATCTTATTTTTGTTGATTAATAAATTACTTTTGGTTAATCAATCAATTTTTTATCAAATAAATATTTAAAAATATAAAAATTAT